TTGAGGCCTCCTGGGAAATGTGCTTTGAGTGTATTGGACACAGGCCTTCATCCTCCGCCCTTCAGATGCCAGGCCTGGCCAGGCCAGGGACCAGCAGCCGGAGGACTGGGACTCATGGCCCGTGTGTCCCCCTTGGCGGACCCTGCCTGCCGCCCTCCCCCAGAGAACCCTGCCAGGCTGTGAGGGAAGAGACTCAAAGGCCCCGAGCCTGGGTGGAATGAGCCAGAGCGGAAGGCCTGGGGCGGGGGCGGCAGGGGGGGGGGCGCTCCACAGGCTGACAGGAAACCACAGCTACGTCAGGTTAGGAGTGGAGGGGCAATGCGAAAACGTAGTCAAAGGCAAAGGCTGATTTTCAACAGCAGGGAAACTGAGGCACCAGCGTCTTTGCCTGCGAAGCCCGCCTCCAACAGCTCCCATCCCCTGCATGTCTCATGCCCCAGATAAGATTCCCTGGACTGGACTATCTGAGTGTCCACTTGTCTCCAGGGCCAAAGGCACCTCGTGGAGCTTTGGTTTGTAAGTGTGGGTGTTAAGGAGGAACTGACCTCCAAGAGGTCAGACAGCCCAAGGTCACTGCTGGCCAGATTCATCTCTGTAGGGTTAGTTCAGGCTGCCCCACGCACACTTCTCCCCCAAGCCTTGAGAATCAGGATGTAGAGACCTGTCACGATCAACGTTCAATCTCTGAAATGGACTTACCCCACCTCCTTCCTTCTTTTTTTTTTTTTTTTGGTTGGTCATGGGGCTTGAACTCGGCTTGGGCTCTGTCCCTGCGCTCTTCAGCTCAAGGAGAGCATTCTACCACTTGGGCCACAGCACCACTTCCAGTTTTCTAGTGGTTTATTAGAGATAAGAGTCTCACAGCCTTTGCTGCCCAAGCTGGCTTTGAACCACGATCCTTAGATCTCAGCCTCCTGAGTAGCTAGGATGACAGGTGTGAGCCACCGGCACCCAGCTTTCCCACCTCCTTCTTAACCAGGTTCTAAGTCACTGGTGCTCAGAGAGAAGGCAGCATTGACCAGAGGTCGAAGTGATACTGGAGGAAAGGTGTCATGGAGGATTCTGTGAACCAAAGGGTTTATCCACAAAAGACATGAAGACAGATCGAGGTCTAGGCTGAGGGTGTGAGCGGGCCCCCAGCTCACCCCACAGCCCCTCTGTGTCCTCCACATGAATAGAGACCAGAGGCGTAGTGAGGCGGCCACCTGATGGGCCGGGGCTGTGGGCTGTAGCTCCTGGTAAAGCAAGATCCACTGAGAACTCAAGCAGTGCTCCAAGTAGGACCAGAAAGTAGGCAGTGTCACCTGGGGGCCAGCAAGCCGGTCAGTCAGGTCCAGCTGGACCTTCTGGCTCACAAGAGGTGAGCCGTGCACCTGTGCAGTCTGCGGAGGGCAGGCCGTGAGGGCAGGCGCTAGCAGGACATAGGCGGGTGAGGAGATCAAGGTGAATGGAGATCCAGACATTCAGGCACCGTAGAAGTGCTCATACAGCTCTCCTTGATCGGGGTTCCTGAGGAGAGAGGAGATGACCCAGGGCATAACCGAACCTGGCGGGCTGCTGTGTGGAGCAAGGCCAGGCTGGGCAGGAGCAGACAGCAGCCCTGCCGAGTGACTGCAGAAGTCAGCTGCTGTGACCAGCAGGGGGCGTCGGGGAGGAAGATGGTGGCCCAAGAAGCCGTGTCGAGCGGGCTCGGCAGCAGCACAGGCCATTGAAGGGCTGGGTGTCGGAGTCAAGGAAGAAATCAAGTCAGTCAGCCATAGACGGAAAGCCACAGGAGAGTAAACCCTCACGAGACAGCACGGAGTGTGAGGAGGAGGTGGGACCCTGCCAAGGAGCCATCGCTGGCTGGCTGCTGCATCTATGTGAAAGTGTGACCCATTTTATTTTAATCTCCCAGAGCGCATAAGGTTAGCCTGCATGACTCAGCCCAGACAGCGTGCAGAAGTTGCCCAGCCACGGCACAGCTGGGACCAGTTTAGCTTCTTCCATCTTCCAACTCCATGATCTGTTCCTCAGCCTCAGCTCCTCACACTGTAGATTTAAGTTTTGAAAGACCCTCCTTGGTTGTTAATGAAATTCCTTGGGGGCCGAGAAGCGTTCTGAGCAAGGTGTGGGTGTAGGTCTGGTAAGGTCCCCACCCCTCAGGTCTGGGCGGCCCCCTAGCCGGCCTAGCCTAACAGCCCCTGGATTTAACACAGAAAGGGAAACCAAGATGATGTGCGGATGAAGTGAGTTAATTCCCGACGGTGAGAAAGGCGGACTGTCACCTTTGACCTCCCAAGAAAGACCTGTCTGCCAGCAGGTGGAGAAACCGCACGGCGCGTGCCCGTGGGCCGGTTGTCTGTTCATCCGTGAACGTGAGGCGGTTCAGCATGTTGTGTAGGGTCTAGTTTGGCACTTACCTGCTGGTGACTATCACACAATAGGCTCTCTATCTCACGGGCCCCAACCCCGCCTCTGTTCTCCTGTCTGGACTGCCCAGTGACAGTGCCCGCGTCCGGAGCCTTGTGGCAGCTCCTCCCTGCTTTTTGTCACTCGTCCCTCGACAGACACATGTTGGTGACTCGCTGTCCAGGTTTAGAAGCTGCTGTCGTGTAGTGGTCGGTCTCTGGTTCAGAAGGTCTCTGCAGCTCCCCAAGAAGCTAGCTGCCACCGGTGCCGGGCCCAGCCCCGGGTTTGGCTCTGGTCGCTGACCTCATTAGCGCCCCAGGGCTGAGGATACTCTGTAGGGAATGGGGTCTTATTTGTCCCCCTGGTTGGAGTGACCTTTCCTGTTCCACCTGGGCTCCACACAGTCGTAAAGGCGGAAGGAGCGCCTCCGCGGCTCGCCCCGGCTGCCTCCTCACTGCCCTTGCGCACGCTTTACGTAACCTGGCCGTGCCACCATGGACTTGCTGCTCGGCCTCTCGTCGGGAAGCACGCGTTACTCCCTGCTGAACTAGTCGTTAAGAAAAAAGTTGAACTGCTTGTAGCCATTTTGTGGTGGATGTTCCCACGTTCACTCCGTACTTCTCTTCTACTCATCATAGGCCCGTTGTCGACGGTCAGGATGACGTTAAAGTGGCACCGTGTCTAGAGCGCCTACGCACTCTAGAGTACGTGGTGTGGGCCACGTTCTGGGTGGGTGTTCTGGGGTGTCTGCCTGGTGAACCGAGGGGGCAGGTTGATTTCCATTCAAGTCTCCCATTGGAAGAGCTGTCTGCGGGTGGGATCTCCCGCCCACTGAGAAGGGCTCCTACCGCACGGGTCTGCGCCTAGGGCCTGTGTGTAGGTTAAAGATCTGAGAGATCCGTGCTGGAAGAGCTGGCTGTGGTGCTCAGCAGGCTGGCACGTGAAGGACTTGGCCTTTGCCTCCAGCTCTGCTAGGGCCCCTGTGTCAGACATTCCCCATGACAGGAACCGGCCCAGCCTTAGGGGGCCTAAGCTGAGGGGAGAGTTTTAGCCTGGTGGCCAAACTCATCTATGCTTCATCCATATATGCTGCTTTGATGCCATGGGTGCTCTGGCTGTTTGTGAAGAAATGTCTTCTGTCTGGGGGAGGCGGAGCCCTCGTGTGGCCCTCCTCTGCTTTCCCATGCTGCCCCTGCCCCAAGCAGTCCTGGACACAAGGCCCAGGGCAGAGCCCATCCGGTGCCTGGTGCCCTCACACTCAGGGGGAGTGGAGGGGAGGGGAACGTCTCCTTCCTCCTCCCTTTCTCTTTATCTCTTTAACAACCCCCTACTCGCAGCCAATCAAGCCAAGACCCTGCAAGCACTGGGGCTGCGGGGTCAGCGCCTCTGTGGAGGCAGACGTGTTGTCTTGAGTTTGGAAAGCTGCTGGAGCCTGCCACACTGCCTGAGCACTGCTTGAGAGAATCAGGCTGGTTCTCCTCATTTTTCTTGTCCTATCACTAAGCCTTCTTGAGGACCTAGACGCTTCCGTTCCTAAGCCAGGAGACGCGGTGGGGAGGGGAGGAGGGGGAGGGGGAGCACATGTGGCAGATCTGTGCTGAAGCCAACTCTCCCCCCACCCCCGTTTCTGCCACACAGCTTCCTTGAGTGTTATTCATCCAGACAGTGTCATCACGTGGCTAACTATAATGGGTATTATTAATCTGTTCAATCTTATAAATAGCAGGAATCACACTCCAGTCTCCAAACCAAATTACTGTGAACATTTTCCTTCTGGGAGGAAAAAAAAAAAGTTTTCAGTCAGATATAATTAAACTCGCTACCTAGCAGATAAAATTAAGCTTGCTGTCGAGCACAGAGGAAATGCCTGCGCCTCGGGGCTTTGCCCTTGCTGTCCTCCACTGGACGCAGTCTTTGAGTGGCTGTCTCCTGAGGTGCGGGTCTCCTCTCCACCTGGCCCACCCTCAGCACGCCTTCTACAAACGTTCCTCGGCCACACCTGCGCGCGTGCGCGTGTGCGTGCGTGCGTGCCAGTCACTGCTGTGCTGTGTGTGGCTCCTCATCTGTCCATCCCAGGAGGCTGTTAGCTGTCTGGGGGGAGAGCCCTGTGTGCAGCCCTGTTGTGGGCCCTGAGAATGTTACCCATGACTTTGAGACCTGTGGTCCTTATCCTTCAGGACTTCCTTCTTCCGCTCTCCTGGCCTGTGGTGGAGGCCGTGGGGTGCGGTGCGGTGCAGCCCCACAGCACCGCATACACTGACCTTGAGGTCAGTCTGTGGCCCGTGCTGCACACGGAGAACGGGGAAGCTGTTCTACCCAGCCAGCTTTGGCCCACACACACCCAGGGTCAGCTGTAAACACCGCTCAGGGGGAGATCAGGCCATGGCGGGAGGGTGTAGAAGATGGAGGTGTGTTCATGGTGTGAGCCTGTGTGGATGCATTGTCTCCACGTGAAGGAGATGTTAGGCGTTCTGCCTGCTACGCAGGGGAAGAAGGCCTTCCCGGCCACGCCCCAGCCACCCCTTCAGTTCTGAGTTCCCGCTGTTCCTGCCTCAGCTGCCTGATTTCACAGCTTCAACAGCACTAATGCAAATGCACCTGTGTTCTAGGATTCCCGGCCGGCTGAACGACAGGAGGACTCCTCTGGGCGAGCTGAACTGGATCTTCACCGCAATCACAGACACCATCGCGTGGAATGTGCTCCCCCGGGGTGAGGCTGCGGGCCTGCCAGGAGGGAGGCCCCCCAGACAAGAGGGAGGGGCGAGGAGGCGTCCAGGAGGATGCGCGGCCCGTGGGCCCTGGCGTGCAATGAGGTCATGCCAGTTCTTCCTGGCATCCAGCCAGTGCTTCTCTAGCTTGGCATAAATGCTGACAGTGGCCTTCCTTGTCAAAACTAAAATTCCTCTTATGAAACTTGGTTACATACGGCTGTGTATTGGTTGGTTGGGTTTCTGGTGTTTGTTCACATATGTGTGCTGTGTGCATGTGTCTGTGCATGTGTGCATGTGTCTGTGCATGTGTGCATGTGTCTGTGCATGTGTGCATGTGTGTGCATGTGTGCATGTGTCTGTGCATGTGTGCATGTGTCTGTGCATGTGTGCATGTGTGTGTGCATGTGTGCATGTGTCTGTGCATGTGTGCATGTGTGTGCATGTGTGCATGTGTCTGTGCATGTGTGCATGTGTGTGTGCATGTGTGCATGTGTCTGTGCATGTGTGCATGTGTGTGCATGTGTGCATGTGTCTGTGCATGTGTGCATGTGTGTGCATGTGTGCATGTGTCTGTGCATGTGTGTGTGCATGTGTGCATGTGTCTGTGCATGTGTGCATGTGTGTGTGCATGTGTCTGTGCATCTGTGCATGTGTGCATGTGTGTGCATGTATCTGTGCATGTGTGCATGTGTGTGCATGTGTGTGTGCATGTGTGTGCATGTGTGCATGTGTGTGTGCATGTGTGCATGTGCATGTGTGTGTACATATTGCCAATGGAAACTTCATGTCAGTCTTAACTTGTCTGTAATTTTTGATGGAGCTTCTGTATGTTTAGTTCAAATACTGAACCCCAGTCACTGAAGATGTCTCTTAATCTTTGATCTGCCCTCAGATCTCTTCCAAAAGCTCTTCAGACAGGACCTGCTGGTGGCAAGTCTATTTCGAAATTTTTTATTGGCAGAAAGAATCATGAGATCATATAACTGCACCCCTGTCAGCAGCCCCCGCCTCCCGCCGACTTACATGCATGCCATGTGGTAAGTGTCTGTCACTGCTGGGTGGGCTTTGTGCATGCTCCCTGGTGCTGCCCAGTGAGGGGCGGAGAACTACCCAAGCACGGTAGTGAGGCTTGGCCCCAGACCCAAGTAAGAAAAGTACAGGCGTGAGTGCCCACCTAGAGCCTTCCTGCAGGCCAGGCCAGTGGCCTCAGGGCCCATGGGTCCCCTGTTCCGAGGGCAGCACCCTGCACTGGCCTCAGCCTGCATTTGTGAGCAGCATCTAGGACTGCTCCACAAGCTAAAACCATTGAATTCATAACCTGCTAATTTGTATGTTACACACACACACACACACACACACACACACACACATACACATTGTTAAGTATAAATCCCTCCCGTTGCTGCTGCTACTTATACTCGTCATATTTGTAACAATGAACAGTGTGATTGGTTTTAGACAAGGCATCTCTGAAGATGTATGGTTTCTTCTGTTCCATTGCCTACTGTTACTCAGCTTTCCCTTGATGTAATAAAACACCTGAGATAATGAATTTATAGAAAGAAAAGTTTCCTGGGGCTGTGGTTTTAGGGGGCTGGGGACCTGCCCTGCGCCGGTGGCAAGGCCACATCACACCACATGGATCAAGAGTGTGATAAAGCAAACTGCTCACCTCATAGCTGGAAATGCAAAAGAAAAGACGCATGAAGCCAAGCAAGCGCAAGGCTGAGTTCAAACCCCAGTGTTAGCCAAGAAACAAGAAAAACGGAAGCTCGATGTTTTTATTTATAAGAGAAATCCAAAATGCTTTGTGCTTAGCTAGCACAAACATGGACCGTCAACATGAAAAGTGAAGACAGTCTGCACCTTTTCAGGTGATGAGAGGGTAGAGTGGAGGGAGCGGAAGCGGAAGGGGACTGTCAGGCTCAGCACTGGCTCCTACCCAGCTGTTGGTCTCCTTTCCTCATCCAGAGGGAGTCCTGGCCTTTTGTTCTGTGGAGCAGATCCCCAGGCCCCGCCGAGCTCTGCGGCCGTGACTGCTGGGCTGGGCTTGATGAGGTAAAATCCCCAACCCCTGACCACCGAGGAGAGGAGGCCCCAGGACCACCACAGTGGTGGAAACCCATTTCTGTGGGGTCATGCAGGGACAGCCTGACCCTCAGCTGAGGAGAAGATGTCTGCTCTGCCTGGGACGTCACCCAGCAGGAAGACAGACGGGGCGGGGCCTCCTCCGTTCTCACCGCCTCCCCAGACTGGATTTGATGGACATTTCACTTAGTAAGCTGAGGGGGGATTGAAGAGGGGAGGGAGCAAAGCCCACCGGTGGCTGTGGGCCTCCCCTGGGCTCTGCCAGCGGGAGGCCAGGGATTGGCTTCCTGAAACTAGAGGACTCTGGGCTTCACTTTCGCATTTCAAAAGCTGCGTTATGTGCCCAGATTCTTTCATCTTCATCTCTGCTTTAAGCTGCACACACACAGAGAATCCTCAATCGCTGGACCTCGGAGGAAGGAACAGTTAAGTGTAGAGAATGCACAGCAAACCTGGACTTGGTAAAAAAAAAAAAAAGTTCAAAGGCCCTGAGGAGCAAATGTGCTGAATCAAAAAGATTAGCACTGGAAGAAAGCATTTGAACTCACAAACGCTGTGCCAACTGCAGTCTGTTTTCTGAGGGACGGGCCGCTCCATTTAGGACTGGGAAATCCCTTCAAGCACCACAACGAGGCAAACAGAAACCCTGGCATCTGGAAAGAATTAAAGACAGTTTAGTTATCTTTATCATTATCTATTGTTGCCAAACAGTCGCCACAGCTTGGTGGCTTAGAATAACATGCACCATAATGTCACATTCCTAGGAAAGAGGTCCTCCACATAGAATCCCTCCGGGTTCAGTGGCACCGGGAGCTGGTAGAGCCCCACCATTCTGCATCGCTCAGAGACTCTGACCAGACACATGGGCAGCCGGTACCATGCTACCTGCAGTCAGAGCTGTTGAACCATGGGCGCTGACCACCGCCATATTCCCCTGGGCACAAGTCCCGGGCTCTCCGCACTGGGGGCACGGATGTGTGCCCACGGCTGTCCCAAATCAAGTCCTTTGCCCTCCCAGTAGTGCTGTGATGACAGCTTACTGGTGACAGGCCTGATGGGAGGCAAGTGAGCGGCCTTGGGGAGGGAGGACTCACTGCTGGGCACGTGTATAATCATCAGCACTTGACACATCCTGGGGACAAGAGCATGCAGAGGCTTCAGAAAAGGCATTGACCCCAGAGAAAGCCAGGGGTCTGCAGCCTCGCTGTCATGTGAGCCGGGTTTCTCTGTGTCCTGGTCTAGATGAGCCCGGCGAGGCTGCGGGGAGCAGGCCTGTGTTCACCCTAGAACCCAGAATCAGCCCCTCCTGCAGGTGTGCAGCTCCACGTCCTTCTGTCCAGCCGGACATTGGAAGTAACCAGAGAGACAGGAAGCCTGCTGATTCCCACCTGCTTATGCCAGGCTGACTGAGGACCTTGTCCTTGGCTGTGACCTTGCTGGCCTCTGGCTCCCTGACCCTGACGACTGCCCCAGCCAGCTCCCTACCACCGCTCCCGCCCTTCCACTGTGCCTAGCCCTCGGCTATGCCCCAGCTCACCATCCAGTTTAAGCAACTTGAGCAGTTGGGCGTTCCAAAAGGCTAGCAGACAGTAGGAGTCAGAGTGTTCATTATAAAAGGGGAAATTGGGAATGACCCCAGGGCCTGACAGAATGGAGATGCAAATTGAAGCCTGTGTGTTCTCAAAGAAAGAAGCAGTCTTAAAACTTAACTCCTTGCTATACAAAATACATTTAAATGAAAAGAGCGGAGCACCACATTCTATCAGCAGCAGCTGTCTGTCTCCTGTAGTCTCAGCGTTCATAGTACTGCAACCACATTCTATCAGCAGCAGCTGTCTGTCGGAAAGTCTCCTGTAGTCTCAGCGTTCATGGTACTGCAACCAGCAGCACAGGACTGGGAAGGACAGGACAGGACTTCTTAAAAGCTGGTGTAGGTTTGTTTCTTTATGATTTCAAAGGTACCTGTAGATTTCCTAAGCCTGCAAAAGGCTAAACATTAAAGTTAAAATTGAATCATGGCTTAGGTACTATTGGTCATAAATACAAACCTAGAATCAGAAGAAATGAATGTTTCTTTACATAACTAGCAGAAATCCCTAAAATTTAGTACCTAGACTTCCATCTCATTTTTTTGAATGATGTGGAAAGAACTCATTAAAATCTTGAGTTGAGGGCTGGGAAGGTGGCTCAGTGGCAGAGCGCTTGCCTTGCATGCCTGAGGCCCTGGGTTCGATTCCTCAACACCACATAAGCCTAAAAAAAAAAAAGCTGGAAGTGGCGCTGTGGCTCAAGTGGTAGAGTGCTTGCCTTGAGCTAAAGAGCTGAGGGACAGTGCCTAGGCCCAGAGTTCAGGCCCCATGACCGGACCCAAAAAAAAAAAAAAAAAAATCCTGAGTTGAGAAAATAATTCCCATCATTGGGTTTGTCCTGTCTGTGGTAACCCTGTAGCCATGGCTGGTTGATGAAGCGCCTGTCACAGATGGCTGATGTAGCAAGCGACCGCACGCCCGGCCTGGGCTGAGGGGGCCCGGTTAAAAGCACACGAAGCCAGCGAATTAATTCTCTACTCTGAAGCGGTGCCCAGATGCTTCTCAGCTGTCAGGCACCTCTGCCTTTGTGTGTGTTGACTCTGCTGAGAAGTACTGAACCACCCTGTTAACAGAAAGGCCTGTTCAGCCTGTGCGGCCTCAGAGCCTGCAGAACTACCCAGCTGGCTCACTGCCCTGCCCAGGTGCCCAGGAAGCCCCTGGCGCCAGGTAGAGCAGACGAGGGAGGACGTGCCGGGCCCTGATTGCCCAGCGCTGCTTTGGGAGAAAGTTCTCATCTGAAGGCTTTTGGGGAGGCATGCAGTAGTGTGGAACATTCTGGTATGAATAAGCTCACCTGGCACCTGCATGCTTGTGTGAGAGCAGGTGTGCAAGCCACGAGACCCATCCGGGTGTGAGCAGGGACACCGGCCGCGCTGTCCAGTGGCTTAGGAGGAGGCGAGGGTGGTATGGGCTGTGCAAGGCAGGCACGGGTGGGCCTCGCCGGGGGCGGTGAGGCCAGGGGGGCTGCGGATGCGCCTGCGTCTGGGCAGCCCTGGCCAGCCGACACCAGCGCAGTTCTCCCTCCCAGAAGCCAGTCACCTGATGCTCAAAAAGTTGCTAGCTATCTATTCACAATCTCATTCATCTTTAGTATGCTTTTTAAAGCAACATTCTGATGAGCAAACACACCCATGGTCTAGATGCCGCGTGCCTCCTGCCTGCGTTAGCGAGGGGGGGGGGAGGACACCAGAGAAGGGGCTGCACAGCTCCGCACCCCGCACAGCTGCGGAAGCCTGGGCACGCTCGTTGGCTGAGACCTGGGGGAGGAGGAGTCCCAGGGGCTCTGGCCAGCCTCGTCTGGGGACCTTGTCCACGCCCCTTCCTCCCCAGCTGGTGCCGTCTTGCCTGTGTCTGAAGGCCTCCACTGGGTGTTTCCAGCAGGGCTGACACCACAGCTTCCTGCTGTGAGCTAGGGGGCGCGGGGGACGTGGAGTGAAGGTTCTCCGAGGGAAGTCAGTGGCGACGTGGTTTCAAGGAAGAGACTTTCGTGCCTCTGACACAGTCTCCCCAGGGAGTTTCCGGCAGGGTGGTGCCGCTTGCTTCAGAGCTGGGAAGTCAGCATCTGTCAGTCCCGTTTTCTCTGAGGCCACTGTGGCCAGGCATCTCATGGAGAATCAAAGAGAGGGCCGCCGGTGGTGAGGGGAGCTGGGCCCAGCATGTGTGTCACGGGGAACTCCCGCCCACTCTCAGTGGCTTTCTCGTGGGGTCCTAGGGTTGGACGCCCGTGACTTCAGGCTCCTCTCTTTCTTCTGCCTCCAGACCACATGGATAAATGGGCCTCTCTGACCTTGTGACCAGCAAGTTCCCAATCCAAGGAAACTGACTCCTGCCCCAGACTGGGGTTTCCGGTTTTAAGTGCT